TTCTATGGGCAAAATGTGGTTATGTTTGTATGTTTATTACAAAAAAAATGGTGCAATAATCGTTAATTGTCAATTTCGTCATTAAATACTACACTAAATACAGAATAAATAGTACCATTAAATTTCTTGTAAAAAACTGGTTATTATGAAGTTATTTTAAAATTTGTAACTTCAACCGTTTGGTTTCTATAGCGAACAAATAAACAAACTTCCTCTTTTATATATATATATATATAAATGAAATATCATAATTGCCTCAGAAGATATGTATTTCCTTTGGGAGCTAACAAGTTAACTCAACGATGAATAATACTTTAACTTTACTCTTGATTTTAAGCACAGCACCCATTAACTCAATTTCCCATCGAATGGAAATATAAACAGTCCACTCTAATGAGGAAATATATTTCCACTTTTGAGGTATTGAGCATATAACTCAAAGAGGTAATATTATGTAATGATCGGGTACTACATCTGCGAAGACAAACAGTGAATTTTTTATCATTCAAGCTAGTGAATAATTAGCTGGAAGATGTTATATATATATATAGCCAGTGTCTCCATATCTGCTAAAATATTTTCCCATAAGGTAATTGTCTGATTACTTCCCAAGTTATTGCCTGATTACTTCCCAAGTTATTGTCTGATTACTTCCCAAGAACTTGGGAAGTAATCAGTCAATAACTTGGGAAGTAATCAGACAATAACTTATTGTTCAGGGAAACAATATTCCCAGAATTACCTAATCAAATGAAATAAAACATGAATTTTTGTTTTTCATTTTATTTGCTGTTACTACGGAGATAGTATGAACTTTTTTTGATTGTGTATATGAAACCACGTTAACACCAGATATTTATATGATGGTTTTATGTTGTCGAACAAGACACTACAAATACCGAGCTACGTTTATCAGTACGGAGAGTGGTCTTGTAGTGTTTCACATGCTAGTTTTAGCAGAGATTCACTTCAACATTATACCGCTTTAATTCAAAGTGTTTAACTAGGTCTGTCTGTACAAAAAGTGAACCTGTTCTCTTTGAAATACTAGGTTTACCAAAGATTCACTTCAACATTATACCAGTTTAACGTGTTGAACTAGGTCTGTCTGTACAGAAAGTGGTCCTATTCTCTTTGATATACTAGGTTTACCAAAGATTCACTTCAACATTATACCAGTTTAACGTGTTGAACTGGGTCTGTCTGTACAAAAAGTGAACCTGTTTTTTTTTTTTTGTAAACACTAGTTTTACCATAGATTCACTTTAACATTATACCAGTTTAACGTGTTGATCTGGGTCTGTCTGTACAGAAGGTGGTCCTATTCTCTTTGAAATACTAGTTTCGCTAACAAATTACTTCTATTATTCCGGTTTGAAGTATTTTAAATAAGAATAAGTAATGAAACTTATCGAATATCAACTTTATGGTTTTGTTTCGTTCCTGCTAAAAGTACTTAATGTTTTCAAACTTATGTAATACTCAAGAACGAATTACTCATTCTGACTGTAGGTTTCAGTTTTTGTTCTAACGACGCCACCATGCGTCTTTCATACGTAAAATCCTTGCAGGATTTCTGTGTTCATGCATAATGTTTGCTGTGGCAATAAATCATGTTTTTTTTTAATAACAAAAAGTATATGCAATCTGGAATCTTATTACAAGAGCTAAAATTTGGAAGGGGAGAAAGCTTTTACGTGGTCTGCCTAGGGGGCAGTAATTCGTTAATCCATCACAGGCAGTAGTCATGTTTGTGCTTGTTAATTTAAACTTGTCACTTATGTAGGTTAGTAAAATTTATTGAAGAAATTCTTGTCACTTTTGTATTTTGCGTTTTCAATATTTTGTCATAAATGCACACCGAAATAGGCAGCAAGACAAACAGAGAGAAAGATAGCTAGGTTTCATAAATATACATGTATGTATGTGTCGACAAAGAAGTCTTGTTGGAATTCCATAAACACGTATTGCCTATGCCTATCTTAGATGTTAGTTAAATATATATATGTATATATTTTTTTACGTACGCAGAATTATATTATTGAATTTTTCACGTTGATGATGGTCCCTGAAGATTGCTGGCTGGCGCTGAAAGAAATGAGACATTGTGCATTAGGTGTATTAGTATTACAAGTAAGACCTTGTTGACAGCGCATGAAGTGTGTGTACATGTAGGATTTGGATGGGGTAACCATGGTCACGTGGTCTGCTGAGTTCCTGGAGTACTGGTAGCTGCTGTCCAGTGAGAAACAAGAACATCTCGTAGGCACGTTCTTGATCTCCCTCTTCCCGGATAAAAAGCTAGTGTTAGAGGCACCCGATGCTATAGTTTGACTCTGGCGGTGACCAGTGTGCTGTATTAGTTTTCTCAAGCATCTCCCACCCTTCCCCTTGTGTGGTTCACTTCTGGATTCGGTAGTGAGTTGGCTGATGTTGGTCATATACATACTAAATATGATATATATTTGGATTAATTTACTCTAGAAACGTATAGTAGCAAAAAGAATGGAATAATGTACGGATGGAGCTGTGCTAATGAATTTTATTTTTCAATGTAAAGAATAAGAGAGAGGGAAAAAAAGACGATTTGCACCTTATATATGTCGACTTAGTTGTACTGGAAATAAAATAAAAAACTGAGTGCCCCCCCCCCAATATAGTGAGTGATCCACTATATTTTACGCTAGAACATAGCAACAGTGTAATGTAAACTGTTTCAATGGTTTTCTCCATCCAAGCGTCATTTCAATGATAAAATTATTATTTTCTGATACATACTTCCAAAGATTCCAGTGATAGGATTAATACAGGCTTCTGAAGAAACGGGAAATCATACGAGACGTGACGTAATGACAGAATATTGTCTCCATATTTTCTATTAAGACGATAGGGTACAAGAATTAATAAGTTGTGCTGTGAAAGTCTCTAGCAGTGGATATCATTAATCAAAGGGGGGAAGGAGTGGGAGGGTCATGGGTGTTTGACAAGCCATGGGGTTTAGCCTGCTGGGATATAAATCATCTCAATCCGAAACAGGTGTCACCAGACAAGTGTTGGAAATTCGGATTTTACAGACTCTTTTACTAGGATAGGCTCTCGAACTGTACGCTTCTTGTTATGAAAAATGGCATTACAGAACAGGACTGACATCGGAACTGGTAGAAACTGTGAAGCTCATACGTGAATAGTGTTGACCGGTGTTGTTTCTACGAAGTAACTCTCTCAAGTTTACTGTTGATACTAATTTCTGATCTAAATATGCTACCCACATAGATCAGAACTAAAATTCAATGGCGTAATAAAAATAGCCAATTAAATATACTTACGCTCTTACTTATAAGATTTAGAATACATTGTTTCACTCTCGCTGCTAGCGATATTGTCAGCTGTAATCATGTATAGAAAACGTTTCTAAAACTCGATTGACCACCATTGTGGGAATTAGATATATTCTCTTTGGTTTCGTTAGTAGCTCCTTTACAGACCTGTGACTCAATTAAGTAAAATATCGTAAAGCAAAAGATTTATTTGTTAACACCCAGGGTAGCAGCTCTGTGCCGACACAGCCCTAAAAAAGAAAAGGCAAATAAAGGTTCATCACACGCAACGTGTGTTCCTGTGAAAAATAATTTCCGAGTATCTCCAGTAGGTGGACATTGGTAGTACTTTGTTCCTCGTGCTGCACCTTAGGTTACCTCCACCTATAGCTCTCTGGAACCATGATATTCTAAACAACACGTGATGAGAAAGACTGAAGGGCGTGGTGCTATGAGTAAAATCTTATTAATGATGGTTAGAAGTGGTGGCTAGTACCATTCTCTCAGAATATGTATTTCAAGACAGACTCGGCTTAATGTACTTCAGAAGAGGTTTACTCGCAATTTGTTTTAAGCTTGATATATCTTGTATTGAGTGAAAAAGAACTCATCGCACTTATCCATCATGCTGTGGGAGTGTTTTGGCCGAAGAAAAAAACACAAGCAACGCCGCCAAGTGGCCAGAAGTCCTTCACCGGACTGTAGGTGTTCTTGTCACGGGCAGGTAGGTATTAGTATTTTCATATTAAGGTTCAATCCAACCCACAATCTTTAATAGTACCAAGTTCTATGCATTGTATGGTGTGTGTGAATAACACTTTATATATATAGTTAAAAAGGTCAAGAGGTCACCACGAGCGTTGTAATATATACACAAAAGATGAGATTGATTTGGGCAGCTACAATCTGTATAATCCTTCCTAATTCTAAAAAAGAAATAGATTCAACAAAAGTAAGTATAACCCTTTCCCAGCATAACGTCTGCTCATCAGTCTTTATAGAAACAATCAAATGTTTCTTCGAGTTTCTGGTCTGTAAAGGTGTTAATTAAACTACTTGAAGATTTAACATCATGACGAGTAGTTCATCATCTAGTTGTAAACAATAACAATAACTTTTTGTGTTATTGATTTGTGTGGAAAGTATTTCAGTTGTTTACTTTCGGAGACATTATTCATGTTGTAAATACGTCCATACGATAAGTCTGTTTTAGTGTGTACAGAAAAAAATATTACTGTATGATAAACTAAAACGTTTGAAAGGTTTTATATTGAAAACCTGAAAGCTTCGTATTCTGCATCTAATTCCAAAATCAATCTTCCTGTATATATTCACACACACACACATATATATGTCTGTTTGTCCGTCTACGTTTAAACGTAATTCTTTAAATTTTTTCCACAAATACTAGATATTCATTACAAAATGTCAAGCACTAAATAGTAAAACATTGTTTTTTACGGAAGAATCTTAAAAAGTAAGAAACCGTCCTTCGTACAATTCTACATTACACTGTGAATATGTTTTTATTATTAACAGAACTTAACCACAAACATATAATGGCCCACTCTTAAAGTATGTATGGATGATTTTCGTTTTTTACAACGCTCCCAGTCTGGGGAGTATTCGCTATTGTTATAAACAGCACTTAACCACAAACATATACTGGCTCACTCTTACAGTAGGTATGTATGAACAATTTTAGTTTTTTACAACGCTCCCAGTGTGGGGAGTATTCGCTGTTGCTATTAACAGCACTTAACCACAAACATCTACTGGCTCACTCTTACAGTGTGGATGATTTTCGTTTTTTACAACGCTCCCAGTCTGGGGAGTATTCGCTACAGGTTTGCTTAACTCGTCACAAAAAAGTGAGGTGGATCCAAAAAAGGGACCCAAACTCAAAATACGGAAGAGGTATGTCTCGAGGGATGTCCTGGATACATGTTCAAAAATAGGGAGTCACCCCTGTGGAACAAGAGAGTTATACCTGTATAGAATATTTGGGAACAAACCGGCAACCCGCCCTTACCAACTTAATATGTTTGTATAAACACACACATATATATATATATGTTATATATATATGTATATATATATATATATATATATAACATTCGTATATAATTATTTTTGATTATTTAATAAATTTCTAATTTCGTAATAAATATAGATATGTCCGATTTCATTGTATAGTCGTGTTAGTTATGGGCAACATAAGGATTTAAAGTTGGCTTTAGATATTTAGATAAAAGAGATTCAACATTTACTGATTGTTAAGCCGGACGATATTACTCCTTAATCTGTATGTTAATATGGACAATATTACTCCTTAATCTGTACGTTAATATGGACACCATTAGCCCTTAAATCTGTACGTTAAGGTGGACAGCATTACTCCTTAATTTGTATGTTAAGAGGGACAACATTACTCTTCAATCTGTACGTTAAGATGGACAACATTGCTCCTTAATCTGTACTTTAGGACGAACGACTTTGTTCTTAAATCTATACGTTAAGATGGACAACATTACCCCTTACTCTGTACGTTGAAAGGTTCAACATTGCTCCTTAATCTGAACGTTAATATGGACAACATTACTCCCTAGTCTGTACTTTAGGACAGACGACGTTGTTCCTTAACCTGTATGTTAATATGGACAACATTACTCCTTACTCTGTACGTTGAAAGGTTCAACATTGCTCCTTAATCTGTACGTTAAGATGGACAACATTACCCCTTAATCTGTACGTTAATACGGAAGACATTTTTCCTTAATAGTTTTACACCTTAGATTTTCTTCTGCAATATTTGAACCTGCAACTAACAACTATATAGAGTTTACACTTCAAAGTTTATTTAATTACCAAAATAAAAATGTTTGTATTGCACTATATATAATAAGATAATAAGTTACAGGCAATTGTTTGTTTGTTTTTGTTTTGCACAAAATTACTCGTGAGCTATCTGCACTAGCCGTTCCTAATTTTGAAATAATATTCTAGAGGGAAGGCAACTAGTCAAAATCACTCACCGCTAACTTTTATATTACAATTTTAACAACGAATAGTGGTATTGACCATCACATTATAATGCTCCCAGGCTGAAAAGGCGGGCGTATTCCGTGACGAAATTCGAACGCGAGTTGATTGCCTAACCACCAGGTCATGCCAGTTCTATTACAGGCAATAAAGGTAGTGACAGTAGTGTATTTAAACGATGCACGAAAGAGATGCAGGTAAAAGTGTATTCCATACAATGTGTAGAAAAGCCAAGAGGTCTAGGAACTTTAAAGTTATTTAACTTTTCGTTAATTCTAACATCTAAAGGATTAATGACACAAAATATCCTGATTTTGGATGACTTTATTATTATTATGGTTTCAGATAACTAAGCAAAAAACAGCTCCCATTTTCCCGGTGTCTTAGCAGCAAGCCTGAAGTCTTACAACGCTAAAAAAAAAAAAAAAAATCGGTTTTTGATATCTTCGATGGTCAGAGCACAGTCTATTGTGTAACTCTATTGTTAGGATCAGACAAATAACTACACGGATATGTCTAGGACAGACACAAAAGAGAGTAAAAAGCACACGTGTTCGAATCAGAAAGAAATTTGCGGAAGAAAGGTAGGTTGTGTACTCCTTCCACCGTGTTCTTCTACCTCAACAGATGCCTGTTCTATCA